ATATATATATATATATATCTATATATATATATATATATATATATATATATATATATATATATATATATATATATATATATATATATATAAAATTTTCAATTTTATTCAAAAAGGTGTTGGTTTGTTTGAACAATCTATAAATGAAGCCTTAAGAGAAATTAGTCGTGTGAGTTGCCTTAGATTTGTAAAAAGATTAAATGATGGAAGATCTAAAAACAATAAAGATATTGATGGAAAACAAGAAGCCTTTCTGAAGTTTAAGCGTGGCTCTGGGTATCATAAAAATTATATTCCTTTTTTTAATATAAAAAATTTATATATTCAATATTTAATGAGAGATTTGTGATTTCTAGTACTTTATTTACATAATTTTCAAATTAATAAAACTTCAATTTATACTAAAAATTGAAGTTTTATTAATTTGATCATTCATTTCTGATGAGTCTTTGTTGATGAAACACAGTGTAAAATGAAAAAAAATTTTGTTAAGTGATTTTCTACTAATTTATAATTGCTCTGTTCTTTTAAGAACATTGAGCACTCTATTTTGTAGAATACATTTTTTTTTAAATTGTATATATATATATATATATATATATATATATATATATATATATATATATTTAACATAATATATATATATATATATATATATATATATATATATATATATATATATATATATATATATATATATATATATATATTATGTTAAAAGAGCTCAAAATGTTATAAAAATTCAAAATGGGTATGTCATGATATAAGAATCATCGTAGAAACCTTTATTCTTGAGTTTTCTTAAGTTTTAAGTTTTCTTTAAAGTTATGTTACTCTGGTAGTATTTTAGATTTTTTTGGATCATTAAAGATTTTGTATAACCCACTGTCAGTAATAATAATGATCAAGTAGATATGTCATTATGTCAGTATTTAAAAATTATGCAATGCATTTACACTAAAGCTTTTTTTATTTATTACTGTTTTTGTTTTTTAGTCTGTTCAGAATGTTTTAAACATTATCTTCATCATCATAAGAAATATTTGATAAGAAAAGTATTTTAAAAAATGCAACTTTACTAAAAAAAAAGAAAAAGTGACTCAACAATTTTTTTCAAAAAATGTTTACCCACTAAGCTAAAATTGAAAAAAGTTTCTTTGTTCATCATTTTGTTTCTTGTGTGAATAGAATGTTATTTACTGTGCATATTTTTTTTTTACTGCAATGAATAGGCTTGTGAAATAATTATCAGATAGCGATATTTAGGTAAGTTTAATTACATGTGAAATTTAAAAACAAATTTTAACACATTTTTATAGAATCAAAAAATTTGCATAAGAAAAAACTTTTATTTGTGTATGTGAAATGATTAGAATAAATATCAGGGAAAAACTTATTACCTGGGTGTGGATTAACAACACTTTCTTAAGTCCAATATTTGTGTAAAGTTTAGGTAAATTTTGCTTAAGTTCAAAGTTACGCTAAGTCTTATTCACATACCTTGCTTAATCAAAAACTTAAGTTTTTATGTAAGTTATTACATACGCAACGATTTTGTTTGTAATTGCCAATAAAATAGAATTTGATATTAATTTTATACTGCTACATGTTAGGTTATTTAAATAATACAACTACAACTTTTTTTTTTTAACAACAACAACAATAGCAAAATATTTAACAAAAATATAGATGTACTACATAAAGTTGTTTTATAAAACTTGTTTTCACTTTAAATTTAAGGTTAAAAAAGTATACATACATAGATATAGATGGTTCACTCTCTCATAGCCAAGCGAAAACAAGGAGAGCTATTTTAGTATGGATAAATCATATAGTTTTGTAGTATGCCTATAACTTAATAAATAAGTCAAGCTAACTTAAAAACTAGTAATTGTCATACTTCAAAACTATATGATGTATTCATACTACTTTAACTTATGGTTTTATCTATACTATACTATCTATACTGTTCTATACAAATATATATATATAATAATATTATTGAAGTATATAATTTAACTTGCATAACTAGAAGTCGTTCATAAAGTACGTACGCTTTTCTTTCGCTAACCCTCACCCCCCCCCCCCCCTGCAATTTCCAATACGCTTTTTTGAGTACTCTCTACTTCCCTAAAAGTACCTACACTTTTAAGCTACTAACCCAACATTTTATGATATTTTCTTAAATTTAGTGTCACCATACTTTTATAATTGACCTACTGCCCCCCTTATCTCAGAAACGCCATTTGCAGACCTCCTCTTCCTCTCCGAGCGTACGTACTTTATGGACGATCCCCTAGCATCAAGAGAGAGAGTCTCTCTCTCTGAGTAATCAGGCTATTGAAGTAACAAAGTATTATAACCTAAATATTAAACTTACTTTGAATAATGATGCTATATTTTTTGATGATTTCAATTATCCAGAGGTATTAACAATATTAAGATTATTTTGAATAATAATGCTCTGTTGTTAATTATTTCAATTATCAATATATATAATTTCTATGAATAATTTAATTTATTAAAAAAAGAGTATTGTTTTTCAAAGCCTTTTTGGTAAATAATATTATTTGCAAATAATAAACATATTCTGTAATAGTTTAAATTGTTTTGAGAGATCTTTTATTTTTTATTTCTAAAAAAAATCTCATTGTTGCAGTTTGTTATTGCAAAGAGCAGGAATTCCATAAAAAATTCCTTGATACACTAGTTAGTCCAAATGGAGTGATAGTGCTTTTCACAATTCAGTAGAATTATTTTCTGTTGCTGTTGAAAATGGTATAACAATTCTTGAGATGACAGCACATTGTTCACACTGGTTGTAGCGATTGTACTGATTGATTGTAGATTGTACTGTTTTTGGTGTCTTGAAAACTACAATACTTATTGTTGTAATTTAATCAATACTTGTCAATGAGTCAAACTTTTCTGTACTGCACATGCCTAATTCACAAAATTAACTTTACTCTATCCATCAATTTTTATTATTTTTTTAATTATTTTCACTTCCAACAAGGCTGCAAGCAACCACTAATTAGTGTTAGAAGTTACTGGAAGAAAAAAAATGAAGATTGTAGAGCAAGATAATGATTGACAGACGACTTAAAAGATTGCAAATTATATGAATCAGAAAAGCAAGATGAAGGAAGCGAATTCCAAAGAACTGATTCGAGGAAAAAAACTAGATAAATAAGAGTTTTTGGAGCACTTAGGAACAGTAAAAGAAAAAGGATGAGACTTAATTGAATGACGAGTAACACTAGAATGAATTTTAGTAGATGGCACAAGAGACGCTAGCTCTTTCGAGCAGTGCCCATTATAGTATTTGTAGAAAAGAGAAAGAGAAGCAACATTATGACGATGTGACAGAGGTTGAAGGTTGGCTGCAAGAGCAGGTCCAACTATGTTTACAATGCGTTTTTGCACCTTGTTTAAAAGAGAAAGGGCATCATTAGAAGATCCTCCCCAGATATGGCAACAGTATTCCATACAAGGCCAGATTTGAGATTTATAATCAAATATAAGAATCACATTTTTATTCGTGTAAAAATGGTACCATAAATCTGAAATATCGCTGAAAAAAACTAATAAAAAATTTTAATTCATTAATTTTGTTAATACAGCAAAAACTGTATACATCGAAGTTATGAATGTAGATTTATATTGACTAGATAATCACACAGCAATGATGTATTTTTCATAATATATTATGAAAAGTTGTTGAACTTTTGTTTATGTTTTCAAAATGTTCCTGACAATTTGAATATTGTTTATAAATAGTTTCAAATAAACTAGAATTCAATCAATAGTGTTTCTTGAATTTATTGAAGCAATTTCTTTATTTAATGAAACTTTCATCTCCTATAGCAAATAAAAGTGTTGTTGATTCAAGTCAATTATGTGATAAAATGAGACCACTGAAAAGAAAGTTTGACAATTATCATGATGTTTTCTTATACCTTAGGGTATAAGGGAGAATGTTAAAACAAGAATTCCATTATTTTATGAATGTGAAATTTTATGCTAAACTAAAGTATTTTGTTTTAACTTCCTGAAGCTATGCAAGACAAGTTGCATGCTCTGAGCAGGAGTGAACCTAGACCTTTTTTGATACCATAGGGCCGGTATGGACACCTAAAAATGCCTCGAAATACTAATTTCTTGTTGTTTTTCTTTTTCTTTTTATATTTTTTTATTTATATTACCCATTTGGATTTGGATTAATATGCTCCAATTAGTTCTTATTGAGTGCTTGTAATGTTTATATTTAAAATAGTAGATGTGTAGTATTATGTTAACAATAAATACCTTATTTAAAAAACTATTCAAATAATGCAAGACACTTTTTTTGCTGTTTTTCGACCCCTTTTGTATATGTGACATTTAAACAATCCCTCCCCGCCCTCTTTGTGGCGTGACATTATTTTTAAACAAATATATTTTTGAGTTTGTAATTTTTTGCTAAAAAGTTTACTATTCCGCTGTGATTATAATTTAAAATTTAAAAATGTTGTCATGTCACACTGTAGCTAACCCCTCCCCCTCTCCCATGTGATATTTAATGACACTTTAAAACACACACCCCCCCCCCCTTCCTCCTATCTAAGAATGTCACATATTATTTAAATAGCCTCAATATGGTTATGCTATATCTTCAAATATAGCAACAACAACAAAAAAAATATTTAAGTCTAAGTAAATGTAAGCCCTGCCTTAAAAAAGGTTTCCTTTACTGTTCGCTCACTTTGCCCTATATGTCTTAATAAAAAAATAATTAGTAATACTAACTTCTTTTTTTATACAAATAATTGTAAAATATTTGGCCTAAATATTGACTAAGTTTTTGCCTAAGTTTTGTCTCATGTGCATGATTTTAAATTAAACAATATAACTCATCCGCAACCTTAACTTTATGCAAATACTGCAAAAAAGTTGTGAATACCAAAAAGTGATGCAAAAATAACTGATAAATAATTGCCTGAGCAAGTTGAATAGAATTATAGAATTAAATTGTTTCATCAGACAAATAGAAAGCATATCTGAGACCAGTGATTTCAAGGATGGCTATAATAGTTTCTTGTCTATAATAAATCCTTTATGAGTAAGAACACACATAAAAAAAATGTTTGTGAATAAATAAAAAAGCTATGTGGAGCAACAAATTGAAATTTAATTTAAAATCATTAAGTCCAAGAAGTCTACAAATTAACCTGAGTTAGAAGAACTGTCAAGTATGGTAGTGGTAATGTAATAGTATGGGGTTTAATAGCTTTGAGGAGTGTTGGAAAAATCCAAAATGTTTATACTAAAATTGATCAGGTACAATACAGAAACATTTTAAAGCAAAATTTCAACACCAAAAAAGCAACGAAAAAAATAGCTCAAAAACTTCAGCATGGATCTGATTTTACATTTGAGCAAGCCAATGGTCCCAAGCATACTCCCACTAAAACTACGAAATGATTATCTGAACATAATCTCAAGACCTTGAAATGGACTGCCGGACCTTAATCTGATTTCAGATTTGTAATTTTTCAAAAAGACAAATTGTGGCAACCTAAAGGTTCAAGGTTTGAAAACAGATCTAGCCCAATAAGCAACATTGATAGGGAAGGAGGCAGAAGTTTCCTTGTTAATTATTCTTCTGCAGTAATGAGAGTTCCACTGTGATAAGACAGTAAGGTAGCACCTTGAGAAAAAAAAATGTCAATTACAGAAACTGGGACGAAATTCAACCAGACAAAACAAAATCAAAACAAAAAGACAAAAACAAAAAAAAGGCAAAATATTAAAACAGTTGTTTTGTTATTCAATTATTAATTAATTTAAAAAAAAATGCAATTGATCAAATTTTTTTTACAATAAAAAATTATTTATTCTTCCTTTATTTAAGAATGAAAACTTTGTGATTTATATTTTAATAAAATAAATAAAATTTATTTGAAAAACATTTTTTATTATTTACTGCGTTGTAAAGTTAGAAAAAGAGATCAAGTTTTTGGCTGACTTTAAAGTTTTTAAAGTTAGCCAAAAAGGTCTTCAGTTGCAAAAATACTTTTTTTTTGCAAAAATATTTAAAAAATTATTTGGTCAGATAATTTTTTGACACTACTAACAATTACTCAAGTTGGAACTCATCATCTATATTTTTTTATTAAAAGTAAGTAAATTATGAAATAACTACAAAATTTACATTTAGAATTACAAATATTATATTATTAAGTCAAAAAATATTTATTATTAAGTCAATCTAACACTAACCTGGTTTACTGTTGTAACCTTATCATTTTTTGTTCATTTAACAATGTTGTCATGTTTCTTATTAGCAACTCTGCAATTAATTGAATTAATGACAGATGCTCAAGAAATTTCAAGTATTCATACCCATATTGTTCATCTTTTATTTTTTTGCTTTTTCTATCTCCATAAGGCAAAGGAAACTATTACATTTGAGGTTACTAATTTTTTAAATTATTGTAACAGTTCTCTGTCAACCTTATATTTCCAAAATTCGAACCTTGAAAAACCTTGAAAGCTACTGGGTGAAAAGAGAATTAAGCACAGTACTACCAAGTTGAGAACTACCAAGGACATGGTGGGGATGAAACTGGGAACTGTTTACTTACTTTCATGTAGTCACTTTCTTTTTTCTATTCATGTTTTTATGAATAAGTTAAATAAGTATTGTATTCCAACTGAAATTTTAGTCAATTTACCAGGTGCAAAGAAAGATTAGTTAAAGTAATTAATTGGAGTTTTGTGAATCAAAAAAAAATATCCGTTTACACCTGTTTGAAAGTTAATGGAAACTTGTTTGAAATTTATTAATCTTCTTGTTGTTAGTTTTCCTACTTTTTTTACAAAAATAAAGTAATGCCTAATCCTTATTATTTTTATGCTCTACAAACCAACAAGTAAATGTAAAAGTCACATTAACCATGGATCCTATCAGGTAATTCAGATAGTTCTATCAGATCCTATTATACGGTAGTTCAGATATATCAAATAGTTGGGCTGTTTCTAGCAGTCCTAGCATCTTTATTTGAATTTCAATTCTACTTCAACTTGAATTCCTGTCAATTAGGGAATGCTATTTATTTATTTATTTATGTTACTTATGTTTATTATATTTATGTTTTATGTTTATTTTATTTATGTTTTACTTATGTTTCAGTCATCTAATAAATACATTATAGCTTAAAAAGCTGTAGTAAAAACAAAAACATAAATTAATATTTTTTGAGTTATCTTGTTTTATCTTTACTTATTAAAAATATTTAGGAATAGATAGTGCTATCTATTTTATATATATATATATATATATATATATATATATATATATATATATATATATATATATATATATATATATATATATATATATATATATATATATAGCTATGTACAAAACATTCTATGTACCTCAGAATGTTTTTCTACTAAATCAAAACCTAGGATATAAAGTAAAAAAATTGCTTAAGTTGTTAATAAAAATCTTTTTATATTTTGTCTCCTGAAAATTTTTATTTTTAAAAGCGTTTTAAAATCTCAAAACTCAAAAAGGTCTAGATTAACCTTGCATATATTATATCATATATTATAGGAAATGCTCATGAAGTTTTCTATAAAATTGATGTTAATGCAGCTTTCAATTATTTTATTACTTTAAAAGACTATAAATGTAATTTTTTAAAAAACCAAAATATTATTGACTTCTGATTCAAAAACATCTAAAATTAAAGAACTTAGAAAAAATGTTGTGTGTCTGTAACTAATTGTCTTTATGCTATACTAAATTTTAAACATAATTAAGCATTAAGACAATTAGTTACAGTCTCTGTGTTATTGTTAGACAATTAGTTAGTTTCTGTGTTGTAAGTAATTGTTTTAATACTATACTTAATTATGTTTATAATTTTTGATTGTAAAAAAATACCATAGTTAAATGATTATTCAAAGAATCTCATTAAAAAAAAGACATTTTTTTTAATGAGATTTTCATTTTCTTCTGAATTTGTATTTAAACCTATTAATTATTTATTTCACTAAAAACGTTCAAGTTCATTAATGTTGACCTGTTTATCAGGTCAACAATTCATCAGCTGAAAAATTGCCTTTTAGAATGAATTTTTTTTTTAATTTTTGGTTCGAATATTCTTTTGATACTAAAATAGTATATATTATTATCTAATATATAATATGTATAACTTCTACTAATATCTAGTATATCTATTAATATAGAATGATAATCACATTATTGATTGATACTAATCATACCAATTGCACATTTTTGGCTGTTGGCCATGTTGAATGATGAATAGAAAAAAGTTAATGCTGACATTAGTTAAGTAAGTAACAAAATTTGTAGAAATTTAAGACCATAGCCATAGTCATGACCATAACCATGAAATATAAGACCATAACATATTTCAGGTCTTTTAGGTTTAGAAAAAGTTAACTTAAAACACCTGAGGGTAAACATTTAAGCAATATTTAGCCAAGTTTTGATAAATATATTCATCTTGTAGAAGGCCCCTTCTTTATCTAATAGAAGTAAACTTTGTAAATTGTGTTCCATTGTTTGCTAGTTATAAACGCTGGATGACTTCTCATAGGTTTTTGTTTTACCTCTTTTATTGACTTTTACAACCTGTAAAATTTGTTTTCTGTTATTTTCTAATGAGGGTACAGCCGGCTTCAAAACTAATAAACAGAATCTCTGTTTATTAGTTTTGAAGCCGGCTGCTAGTATGGTTTCCTAGACTTTGTGGAAGACCTCAGAGAAACTGACTCCATTAACAGCTGTAAAATATTGGAGTATTAACATTGTTATGTTATATGGTTGGTGTCACTGTTAGTGTTTTTGGTAGGGATGTCAAAAATTGTAAAATAGCATAATTATATCTTCCATCATTCAGGTTTTGAGTTTTGTCTGAGAGACAAATTAATAAACAAGTTGGTGAAGGTCTGATTTATGTTAAGAAAATCATTGTACATAAGAATAGTAATAATAATCATTGAGAAGTAATAAGTAGATTTATTCTGAATGTTTTTTTAAATGTTTTCAGAAATTTTAATGGTGATAAAGTAGGTGTAATTTTTGAACTTTATAACAACAAGATATTTAATATCTTCTTTCACATTATAATTTAACATTATCAAATTTTTATATTATGATTAATCATTTACAAATTTTAAAAAAGAATTAAATAAAATGTAAACTTATCAAATAATATTACCTGTCATTTAAAAATGCTACCTAGATAGTTAGTAACATGGTGGTGTCCAGACACCCATCGACAGTCTTAGCTTTTAATGTGGATTGTTTGGGCCAGATTAGGAGCACTTTGTACTAACTTTAGATTGATTAAATATGTCAACCTATAACCTGTATACAAATCTTTTATTAATTCAACTTCTATAATAATTTAAAAGATAACTAATATACTTAGAAATATAAAAACATAAAAATTCTTTATTAAAATCTTTTACAGGTTGAAAAATTGCTTCAAAGACCACAATCTTTGAAGCAATTTTTCATTGATTTTAAAATTCACCAATCCTACTGTCTTTTTGCCACCTAAAGACTACCTACTTGCTCTCAAATTCTGTTGAATTATCTTAAGATCACAGTGTCGTTGATAGATATTATCTATTGATTTGCAAGCTTTCATAATCACATAGTGCTTACCCTGGGCATAAACTTGTTTGACTGAAAATCAGGTTATAAACTTTAAGATAATAAAAAAGTTAAAACCATTACCAACTATACATCTAAATATCTAAAAGTCATTAATCTAAAAGTCATCAATACTGCCATATATAGAGAGAAAGAAAAACTCAATTAAAATGTATTTAGCAAAAGTTATAACCTGTTTTTTCTTATATGTGCTTTTGTTTACCATCTCTTCACTTAATCGCCCTTCCTTTTTTCTTTTTTTAGCTTTTTTGGTAATGTTTTTGATCAAATTTATCAAAATTTTTTCAGTCCTACCAAAAAATCTACCTACCTACCAACAATGTTGCTGTTATTAGTAGCTATATTAGTGACAGTTATATGCTCCTTGTACTGAATAGCTAAGCTCTAGTACCACTGAATCTAATAGAAAATGCAATTTAAAGTATTTATCTTTCTTAATCTCTCACTTAGATAGTCAACTTTGTTACTGGATTGTCATCACTTACTTTGTTTAGTATTTTTCTTTGACCTTAGCTTGTCCTCAGTTCCTCCTTGTTCAAATTTATGGAGTTTAGACCAAGTCACGATCTTATTTAAACTTGTTTCATCATGTATTTTTTCTACATAAAACTAATGTTATTACCCTTGCACTTCTTGCTACTAGGCTTGTTACTAAGGCTTGTTACTAAGGGTTGTTACTAAAGCTTGTTACTAAGGCTTGTTACTAGGCTTGTTACTAAGGCTTGTTACTAGGCTTGTTACTAGGCTTGTTACTAAGCTTGTTACTAGGACTATGTACTAGGACTAGAATAAGTATTCTTTTCTTATTTCATTAGTCTTTGTGATGGAACTAAGGCAAATTATTTTTATTTTACTGCTGATATTTGTGCCTCCTAAATACTCCTTTGGGTTTAAGCAATTATGGAAGCTTTTATTCTTTCTTGTCGATTTCACGTCAAATCTCACTATATATCATTTAGAGGTTGGCATATATCTTTTTTTTTTTCTTCCTGGGCAGCTTTTATTTCTTCCTTCTTAGAGCAAATAGCTTTAGTTTTTTATTGTTAATAATTATTTCAATGTTGTTTGTATTCCTCTATTGATGAAAGACAACAATCTTACTAAGTCTTCTACTTTACATCTTTTTAGATAATATTACACCATTCGTTTCCATTTTTAAAGAAACCACTCTCATGCAATCCATTGCAATCCATGCCTCTACCAAGTTTGTTTCTATTTTTTGCATTTGACACTTTCTAACTACTGAATCCATTCTCTATTTCTTGAAATCTCTTATTATATCTTTGTACAATTGTCATATTTGGTTTTTATTATGATACCCTTTCTTCTTTAAACAGGGTAAATGTAGTATATGTCCCATCAAGAGTGCATTTCTTTCTCTTATCTACAATTAATACCATGGTCACTTCTTAAATAAGCTGTTGTCATACATTCTATTGACTAAAATTCTTTCGTTGTATTTAAGTTGGTGGTATAATTTGAAAGATTATTAAATGGTTATTTTTTTAATAAAAAATCTACTTTTAATAAGATCTAGACCTATTACCAGTAATGTATGTTAGTACTCAGTAATGTATACAGTATGGTTTGTTTAAAATATAATTGTTATTATAATAAAAAGGCATATGCTGATTGTGAAAAATGGCCAAATATACGCAGACATTGAGTTCAATTATTTGGGGGTTACTAATCTCTACTAATGTTTATTAATATCTACTGACATCTATTAAATAATAGTCTAATAGCTAATCTACATATGAAATAGCTAATCTACATATGAAATAGCTAATCTACATATGAAATAGCTAATCTAAATATGAAGTAGCTAATCTACATATGAAATAGCTAATAATAATCTATGAATGAGTAATAGGAAAATATATTATAAAACTGTTGATTAATAGGATAATAAAGTTAACCTTTTTAGAATTATAGATTAATAAAGTAAATATTTGATATCAATATAAATATAAGTTTGCAATTTTTATTAAGGTAAAACCTTCAAGTATTTAGTTTTTAAATATAGATATTTATAAACCTATTATTTATAGTTTACATAACAAGTTTTTTAATTTTTTTTTTTAGTTGTTTTACTATCCCTGGAAAACAAAGTTTAGGTATTATACAAGCAGTGACAGATTCCGAAGAGTATGGTCATCCAATTTATGTTGGACGTTTTTGTGAATTCAAAGGTTTATTGGAAATACTTTGATTTTATAAACAAATTATTTTAAAATATATAACAGTTAGAAGCCAGGATGCATGACCTAAAAAAATATTTAGCAAAATGCTAAATGTTTTTTTAAATCAAAGCTGCTATAACAGGGTAGCCACTAGGATGGAGCGATTTTTAAAATTTTAGAAATTTGATTTGCCTGAGTTGCTAATCGATGTCTTTTTGTGAAAAAAAGAACCTTTTTTTATTTTTAATTTAGATGAGTTTTTGAGGTTTTTTTAGTTTTAGGTAAAAAAAATAAAAAAATACATTTATTTTTTTCATAATACTGCCTTCTTCGAAAAAAAACGGTTTTAAGGTATATTTTTGCAAATATTTTTTTCACTAAAAATTATATTTTAATAAAATTATCATTTATAAAACAAGCATTTTTTTTCTTTTTTTTTTTGAGTCCAAGGTTGATAAGGTTTCGAAAAAAAAAAAATTCAAAAATGTTAGGACTCATCAAGAATTTAGAATCCAAAGAGGAACCTCAATATCTCATCAAAATCAAAATATTATTTTTTTACTTTTATCTTATAATTAATAGACATCAATTTGTGTCTCAGGAATATTGATTTTTAAACTTTTTTTTTTAGCTATGAAAATCCTTTTACCCTTGTGGCTACACCTAATAAATCCTAAAACTTTCAAAGTTTGAAAAGCCTAAAAAGATCTAAATTCTCTTCAGATAAACTTGAACTTAAAAAATACTATTAAGTCTCCAATTTTAAACTTGTTTTTGGAATTTTAAGTTTTCTTTTGAAGAAACAACCTAAACTTTCATTTTTTTAAATAAAATCTTTGAATTTCTTAAAACTTGTCCTAAATTATTTGAATGTTTAAAGCTTGTCCTAAATTAGCCTAATTTTTTATTTGTTTTTCTAAGATTCTCATTATTCCCAGTAAAAACTCCTAAAAAATCCATAAAAATCTTCAAAAATTTTTATTTGAGTTTAAAAAAACTTTTAATTTTTTAACTCGTAAAAAGTGTGCCCACACTTAATTTAATATATTTTTAAGAAGTAAAAAAATGAAGGTGAGAAAATGTTCCTTAATTTTTTTTTAAGTTCTGTTTCTTGAAAATAAATTAAAGAAAATTAAATGTACTGTTTTCACTATTTTGAACTTTATTCAACAAACTAAATTATTATTATACATGTATTAGAGCATATCCTTATATGATTAATAATACAACAGTTTATATATATATATATATATATATATATATATATATATATATATATATATATATATATATATATATGTATATGTACATTGTAATCTCTTGGTATCACACCACTGTCCAATAATGAGTTCAGGTCTTTCAATTTCTTTTCAGTAATTGGTAATGGATTACTGTATGCTTCTCTGATGGAAATTGTTTCCCAATCCTTAATCTGCAAATGAAAAATAAATTAAACTATTGATCTATTTAAATTGAACGTAGTAAAAGTATACCTAAAAAAAGACATAATTAAATACCTGCGCATTTCATTTTTTTATTTCTGTCAATTTCCAAGAATTTTTCATCCATTAGGTTATACTTGTATAAAATGTGGTTAGGCTTTTCTTTTGTGAACCGCAGCCATTTTATTATTAACCATTTCACAATCTCTCTAAATACATTTTTGGTTGTGTTGTGCAAAATTTGTTTTGTTAGTGCTTTCAAATTATAAAAATCATTATGATGCAGTACTTGTACGTCATAAGGTTTAGGATTAATTCTACTGGCTGAAATAATATAGTGCCCACTTTCGCGTTTTGTATATTTTTTTATGTTTCCTAAATCTCTCTATTGTTGCATGCATTGCGTCAGCCTCCAAATAAGAGTGCCCAGACTCCATATACTTCCTATCAATAATGTTGATGTGCTTTATTTTATTAATGCAATAAAGCATGGCAGCTGATACATTCTTATTTCTGTTTTGGCTACCGCATGTATCAGAGAAGGAAGCCACATGATTTATCGAATATAGCAATGAAGACAAATATTTTATGATGCACGTCCCAATTTGATTGCTACCTCTTTGGCTGTTGCACTCATCCCATAAATAACACAATCCATTCTTTATTGGGCACTTAATAATTGTAAAATTGTACGCATTAAGCTTTCTTTTGTAATAAATTTCCACAAATCAAATGTTATTGCTCTAAATGAGGCATCTGTTGTTGTCCTTAATTTACCTATTGATTTCATTTCCATTGAATTTTGCTCCCTCCCCAATCTTTTGTTCTTTCCAATCACTCTCCAAACAAGTTTTATCTATCGCTAAATTGTAAATATTGCACTTGACACACTGATCCTTTTTTGGCACATAGAATGACAGTTCTGGATTATATGAGTGAAATATTTTGTTGTAAACAAAAAAGAAAACAGGAGTTGAGTCGCTCTGCTCCATATATAACCTATGCATTTTACTAATATTCAAATCTGATTATAAATATAGTTTATTGGAGTCCCGCCTGCAATAATGGGATTCCATTCTTGGGAAGGAATCAATGTGTTTCTTGACTAAACATATCATATCTTTATCAGTTTTGTTATGAGGCTTACCACCAATTCTTCCATCTTTTTTAGTAAAGTGCCCTATTTTCGATATATTATTTTTACCTATACCATCTACCACTTGGTGACTGATTGAAAAGATACTGCAGAAAAACTTCATGCAGACCCTTTTTAGTTCTTCACCATCAAGGCAGAGGTGATATTGTTTTAATGTCGTCTTTGAATTTTTTGCATCTGAACTACGAGGTGCAACTTGAATAGTCACTATTAACGTTGATAAATACTGTTATGGGCTCATCGAATCTCCTAACTATTGATATTCTTTATGATTCATATTTTTATGAATCATTTCATAATTGACGTTATGACTACAGTTAAATCTACAACATAATACACAAAATTATTCAATGTGAATACAATAATTACCACTATTGCATAACAAATAAGCAGCATTAAATTACCTGCACTTGCTGCAATCTATCTGTATGGGTCACCACTTCTGTTTATATATTTCTCTCCTCTAATACGCTTATTTTTGATAATATTTCTTTTCCAGGAACTAGGATCAGCATTTTTATTTCTTTGTCTCTTTCCTGTAATCGATTAGACATCAATGTATATTTATGTAAAGTTACTTTACGCAGTTAACATACTAAAATATTTTCGTAACTACCTATTACTGAGTTGGGTGGTATATTCTCGGAGTTATAAAAGTTTGAATCATTTACCAACATGATACTTACCAACTGTATTCAGAGGTGTTTGGTTATGTTGTTCCTCCTTATTGATAATTTTAAGATTTGCATATGAATTGGTGCATCACATGCGTGTGATGAAAGTTTTGCAAGAAATACGATATTGTATATTGGAATATTCATACATAAGCTTACTCTAATGATGACTAAATGAAACCCTCGCCAAGTCTATTCTTAGATGACATTTTGTAAGATTGAACTTGTATGTCACTAGTCGAATTTGTAGATGGATTCAATGTTTGTGTATTACATATTTGGGTTAAAGAATCTAAAAAATAATAAAAACACTTTAATACACACAAACTAAATATAAATTAGCTAAATTGATATAATAAATAGTTATCTACCATTTAATGACATCTCATTGATAGACTGTTGTTGCATATTATTTATGTCCTAATTTCTTTTGTCAAATGAAATAAATATTCAGTATTAAATGATGTTGAACTAAACTATTACATGAACATTTCATAACTCAGAAATCCAAATAAACAATTAAAAATTTATAATTTACCTGTCATATTATCCTTTGAGAGAGCGAGATTCATCAACATGCGTCCTCTAGAATTCATTGTTTTACACAAATATTTTACGTAAATGAACAATAAAACACTTAAACTAATTTGTAATAATATTATTTTTTTCTTAAATATGTATTTGAATAGTTTCAAAGTCCCTAAGATAGCAAAATATTAACAAAACACCAGATAAACACGACATTAATGTACATGCACTGTAGTTTGCCACCATTTTTGTAAAGCACCAATTGTTACCACGTGTGTGCACTAACAAATTAGAAAGCTAAAAACGCAAATATGGTAAGGGCGCTTCTGTCATTTGCGTGCATAATTATTAGAGGTGTACCGGATATACCGGATATTTTATTATCCGTTATCTGGCCGGATATATCATATATCCGGCCGGATTTACTGGATATTACTTTATACTTTTTTTTAAAGTCTTCAGCTAAAAATTTGATGATAAACTTGTTTTTAAATAATGTAAAAAACTGCTATTACTGCACTAAAATGTTTTTAATGTACTCTGTTGTAATTACAAGCATATCTGTTTCTTTAATTTAAACTTTTCTATGCTCAAAGGGGCAGAACAAAGTTAGCAAAATTTTAAGAAATCTTTTGATGAACACATCAAAACCTTTGGGGGTGGAGAATTGATTATCTATGTGAAAATTTAATTTTGAGCATTCTAAATCAAAATGATTTCCCGGCACGCTGCTAAATAGACGCTAACATCATTTTTTTAAGTCTTAAGTATGACATTATAAAACTTTCTGCAAACTCCAAACTTTAGTATGTTTATGCTTGTATAGATTGAGAATGTTTTGTATCAAAAACAATGGTAATTAGAGACTGGGGAAAAAAGTAATCTGAAAAATTTATCTTTACCACCTCCACCAAATGCGAGGGAAATTACTTGATAATTATTTCATTACACTATCTTAAACTTAAGTTAAATTTATTGAGGCTTTAAATTCATCAAATAATTAGTTTTTGAAAGTTATGAAGATGTTTAATTTATTATGCCTTTATTATGGGGAGAGAAAAAACTTTACACGGTCATAAATTTTCAAAAAAAAATATATATATTTAGCTTAACTAAAGTAACGTACGCTACTTTAGTTACACAGACCCGTAGAAACCGGGTGGACAGCAGAGGCATTTGACCCCCCCCCCCCCCCCAATAATTTTTCAAATTTTAAAGAAATTGTCTGAAAAGATGACTTAAAAAAAAAAAGATCCATAAAACTATTTGGTGGTAGTATTGCCCCACCCCCAATATAATTATTTTGTAAATACAGCCCTGTTACACCCATAGTGAAATTCTTCTATTTTAAAAATTCCTAGAATTCCAACAAAGAGACGCCATTTTAAATTATTCGCAAAAGTTCAGAGAAACTGGATAAACTCAAACATAAGTAAAATTTAGGAATGTCGGTCACGGCAACAGTTAGAGGGGCATCACTAGGGGAGTGGGCACTTCTAGAAACCTTGTCCCCTCTTATTATTTTAAAATGTTTATCATATCCGGTATATCCGGCCAGATATATAAGTTCATATCCGGCATATCGGTATCCGGTTGGATATGTAAAAAATCATATCCGGTACACCTCTAATAATTATAATAAGAGTTTTTTTATTAACCACATATTGTCAATTAGTAGACTCTTTATCGTTTATTGTACACATACCATATTTATGCACGATAAACTATAAATAAAAACTTGTTTTTCTGCGTACTTATCTCAATTTGACCAAAATTTGTACTTACCATATCTGTGCACTATGCCATCGATGTGTATATATATATATATATATATATATATATATATATATATATATATATATATATATATATATACATGCTGATACTCAAGCTTTAATCTTCACTGACAAACATCTCAGTCTTAGACTATTGCTTTTTTTTTGTCTTAATAGAGTCATTCTACATATCCATCTGATTATCTATTCTTTTGGCTAATACTACATCATATAAATGCTAAAAATTTTAATAATGCGTAAAGATATACAGCATTTAAACAAATAGCAAACAAATATGTGTATACCCCTATATAATCATAATGCATAAATGTGCCTCTTATCTAATCTTCTGGGTTGAAGTAGGAAACTTTTATTGTTTCTTTGTTTTTAAATCAATCATTTTATTTGACATTTTTCATTTTCTTGTGCATTTGCTATATTAAACTGTAATAATTTTTTCACTTTTTTTATAAGCACACCTCATATGAGATTAAATGTCTTGTGTCAAATCAATCAAATGTCAAATGTTTAAATGTATTATTGCAAGAAGTAAAAAAAAAAAACTGATGCTTAGCTCCATTATTCTCAGTTTACTAAATCTTATTTCACATGTTAAGTTCTAGAGATTTTTGGAAAATCTTTAACAGTGTTATAAACTAAAATATAAACTAAAGTAAACCTATCATTCTTTAGAAAGCACGCTGACCTCTCCAACCTACGATAAGTCTTCTCTCTATTATTATTTTTTTTGTAATGTTTATAAGGTTTAGGGATTATTAAACCATTTCTTTCTAACCACAGTACTTAAGTCATTCTCAAAGGCCTCCACTTGTAGCCTTGGCAACCTTCCAACCATCCTACATTTAGTCTTCTCTCAAGTTTTTTCATATAAAAGTTTTAGATTAAAACATTTCTTTCTAACCGCAGTATTAATTAAGTTTTTTATAACAAATGTAGGTAAAAAAATAAATAACTAAATAAAAAGTTCAGTATTAAACACCATTTCTTTATTATATTGCAACTGTAAATATTGAATTATTAACTTGAACTAAATTTACTTATTATTTAGAACGACTAAGCAATAAAAGTAAAATACCCCTAAAATTATGTGAGATTGTGTTATTTATTTGATAACTGTTGTTGGTAATGTTGTTTATGTTGATTATTTTCTTAAATATCAAAATAGTTCCAGATTAATCTGTTCGTTGCTTTGCTCATTGCTGATTTATTTCTAATTTAATTTTATCTAAACTATAATTATATGTTAAAAAAGAAAAGTTTTTATTTCATCAGGCGCTCTTTTTATAAAAGAGTAGAACAAAAGAGAAAGAAAAGTTTCGCGTAATTAAACTTTGAATGAATAAGAGTTGTATAGAATATATTTTTTTTTTGCTTCACTCGTTCTTTTTTTAGATGAGAGAAATAAAAGTTTAATAGTAAATTTTCTTTGAATAAATAAGACTTGGAAGAGAAAATTGCTTGAAAATTTGTATTTGTTAATTGTGTTTTTAAAAATTTTTAATTTTTCATGTTAAGAGACAAATGCCAATTACGACACAAATTTGGAAATACCAAATATAATGTTTTTTAATGCGCGTTATGACATTTTAACAATTTAAATTACCATCTATCTTGAATAATAATTCAATTGCCTTTAATTAATGTGTTAATTATTGCGTTATTTAATAATAATTTGTCCGTATTTTTGTTAAATATTAGTTGTATAAAATGGGCGAAAATATACAAACTTCATGTTTTTTATTTGATGGTTATAAAATATTTAACAGTAAACTTATAATCAAAATTTATAATGCCGACTTGTGTTGCAATTAATTGTACTTTTAATGCAAAATCAGGATCTCACATATCCTTTCACGAATTTTCATATCTGATACTACTGTCAACTGTATTGTGTAGTGTATTCTTGTACTTTTTTTTCATAATCTTAACAGGTTCTAATTGGTATGGAGTTGCTGACATTTTAAAAATTTCATTATCAAAAATCAAGTGTAAAATAAAATGGTATTTCCTTTTTATCCGTATCTAATTCAGCAAATTGAACAATTTAAATTAAATCAGCATGATCAAAAAAATTTTATAATAAAAAAAGTTAACAATTCATTAAATATCTCTAATTAATACTGTCAGTTTATGAAAGTAATTGTTAATAAATACTTTTTTTCAACGGGAAAACAAAAAATTGTCATAGGGTAAAAATAACCAGAGAAGTTAGAAAATAGTTCCCATCGTTTGAATAAAAATAATTAAGAATCAGAATATATAATACTGCGCTCTCTTGCGCAAAAACAAGAGACCGTATATAAAACGTTCAATATAATGTAAAATACTCGTATGAAAATCATGAGATTGGTAAGTAAAGCTTTAATATTTGTTTTAATTTAAATAATTAAAGAAATATAAGTAAGATATATAAATCTAAAAATTATTAAGATATCTGTAAAAAATAAGTTGCTCCTATAAAATAAAAATAATTTATTGTTTTTACTTTTTACAAAATTTTTTTTGCAATGTTTGGAAAAATAATACAAATAAATTTGTTTTGCTGTATGTTAAAAAAATACTACAGTAGAAAAACGCAGCTTAGTTTAATTACACTTTTCTTTTGTTAAAAGTCTACCGTGACGTCAAATACTAAAACTTTTATGAATTAAATGCGCTTCAAAGGAAGTCGAACTCCTTACCACTACACCACTACTGCATTATTTGGCTTGTTGGTTTGTTATTCAGCAAAGTTGCATTCTTTTACTGTATCTGTCCCTTCATGTTATAAAGAATTTTTATTTATCTAGTTTATTTTCCATTTTCATGTTTTCCTGACTCATACAACCTACAACTTTTTAAGTCTTCGGACTACATTCTTCTTCCAATACACTACTTAAATCTTCACTTTCGTTGAATATATTATTTTCAATCTTCTTATGAGTGAATATTTGCACTTCTTTTTTTTTGTAATTAATTTTTGTATTGTTTTTGATAATTTAAAAAAAAACTTGCTTTTTTGTCATATTTATAGTAAATTAAACACAGGTAAAAGTGAATTGTAAATTAAACACAGTTAAAAGTGGATTGTAAAAATAAAACTTGAGTAATTATGCAGTAAATTTTTAATATTTTAAGTAATAATGCAATAAATAAATTTTGTGATGTTAAAACATTACAAAAGAACATTTAGAAGCCACTTAATATTTGTATAATAATACCTCATTAACATTTAAAAACAATTTCAATTAGCAAAATATCATGAAAGGGACTAGTGTGAAGTATTAATCAAATTTTATAATAGACATTTTTTTATAAGAAACCTTATTAAGAAATTGGCTTAACCAGTTAAACAACTAGTTTAATAAATTAGTTAAAAATTTGGTTTGGTCTCCCAAAGTATTTTCTTATTTTATCCTAAATGTTTAGTTTTAGATTTTAGTAGAATAATCACAATCATTTTGTTTTCTTAATTTTTTTATTATTCTTAATTTTTTTCATAATCCTTTTGTTTTTAACACAGTCCTTAATTTTTTTCATAATCCTTTTGTTTTCAACACAATCCTTAATTTTTTTCATAATCCTTTTGTTTTCAACACAATCCTTTATTTTTTTCATAATTCTTTTGTTTTCAACACAAAGTAAAGTTGAAGAATGTATTTAAATTAAGTGCAAAAATAGCCCCAAAGTTTTGATTTTATGGATTTCAGTCTTCAGCTAAATACCAGACCTCCAGGTTTCATACATTTTGGATACCAGAGCCTCCATATTCCAGAAACAGACTTTTCATTCCTAGTGAAAATTTAAGTGTTACATAAAAGTTGTTGTTATATTGTTGATGAGCACATATAAAATAATCATGCATTCGCATAATTACTGAGGTAGTCATGTGAACTGTAAAATTATTAATTTTTTTTTACTGATTCTTACATTTAGTTTTTTTTTTAGGTACAGTGCTTCATGAAATCCTTCACGCACTTGGATTTCTTCACGAGCACACTCGACTTGATAGAGATAGATATATTAAAATTAATTGGGAAAATATTGTTGATGATCCTATAAAAAGATTGCAATTTCGGAACTATAGACATGGAGATGCCGATGGTCTTGGATTAGGGTAAGCTTATTATATTGTTTTTTAAAATTGAAAAAAAATTAAAATTTGATTCATGTCACACAAACACACATATATACATCCCTCAGAATTAGGTAAAACAAAAGCAATAATTTGCCAACCCTCATATTTTAGAGGTCGGCATCAGGTCAACAAAAAAAATTTGATACAAAGGTTTTATCATAGAACATAGCAACCAGTTTGGCAGTTTTTTGTTTAAACAATATAAAAAAATTTACAAATTATTTTACACAAAGTCATTGTTTTATGCTTTGTAAGTTGTTGATACTAATATTTTTTACACCACTGTAAAGCAAATAATAAATTTATGAAATTGTTTGGTGCTGAAAATTTTTTCGAGCGCACCAAGAAAGCACTGAGAAAGAGTGAAAACAATATTGGCAGTATTTTTATAACAGCAATACCTTTTACAATAAATTGCCCAATACTTTCATTTTAAATTCTTGATTTAGTAAATTTTCCAAGAAACAGTCAAAAACTTTCTTGAGACCAATCATCTTTTATTTTATTACTTGTTGGGTAATGCTTTTTTTCTTGAATATCTGTTCTTATTAAATTACCTGCTGCCAAAAACTCAAAGAAATTTATTTTTCTTTGAATTTTTTTTTGATTATAAAATTTGCCATATCTTTGTAAGTTGTAAACACCTTTTGGAATGTCTGAGAAAAATACATGAGGTTCAAATTTTTTTAGATACAAACCTTTTAACAGCTTCTTTTAAGTAGCATTTATAATATATATCATCACCCTTGATCATAAATTTTTTAAATTTATTATAAAGCTGGCAAAGTGTAATAATTTCTAAAAAATTTTTTAATGTTAATTCACCATGTTCTCATTTTGTGGTCTTCTTTTTTGAATGGTTATTTCTGTAGCTTTTATGATATCTAGTTTCTGCAGCATCAAAATTAATCCAACTATCCAATTGGTTGAATCTAAAGAACAAGTGAGTCATTTGAATTATCCTCTAGTTTTAACAAAGTAGCCTTTGTCTTATATCTTAAAATGCAAAGTAGCCTTTGTCTTATATCTTAAAATGCAAAGTAGCCTTTGTCTTATATCTAATGTTGATGCCATATGTCAATCTTTTCTTTTTATTTTTTTTAAATGCCAGACATTATATTTTCATATTTTTTTTTTTACCTGAAGGTTCTTGAATACTCAAGAACCTTCAGATAAAACTTGCTGCTCAGCAAAATATTTTGCTACTCAGCAAAATAAGTTGTTTGTTTTAATATTTCCATTAACTTTTGTTTCGAAACACTAGAGTTTGATTTGGTTTTGCTAAACATTACTCTCTGTGTGACGAATCTTTATTTTAAACTTTGCTGAACTGTTGCAATCCACTAAGACCACTTTTTGTCACTTGGATGAAGTTCTCCTCTGTTAGTTTCTCACAAATAATAAACTCCTTAAATATTTTTATACTGCTATAATAAAAACAATAGCAAGTAATAAATTGTAAAAACAGTAAAAAATGATAAATAAAAAAAACCTTTTTTCAGAAGTTGACAATTGTGGTCCTCCTATTCCTCATTTTAAAAATTGTGTTGTCCACCCACCATGTCCACCCATAGTGTCACCCACCATGTCCACCCATGGTGTCACCCACCATGTCCACCCAGATGCAGATTTTGTTTAAAGAATTTTTTTAATTTTTTTCAGACTAGGCAGCTAACTTTTACATTAGATTCTTAAAATTGTTCAAGGAGTATGCAGGAAGAGTTTTATATTTCAGTTTTAGAAGAAACTTTAGGCTAAAAAATTTAGGTATCTATATAATATTGCTGAGCTTAATAGTAGTAGTAGTAGTAGTAGTAGTAGTAGTAGTAGTAGTAGTAGTAGTAGTAGTAGTAGTAGTTGTTGTTGTTGTTGTAGTAGTTGTTGTAGTAGTAGTTGTAGTAGTAGTAGCCTTTTGAGTAGTAGTACCCTTTCGAGCGAGCTTGACACAAAACTCTTGGTATGTGTCATGATTAAGATACTTATGTTATTTTATTTTAAATTTCAATTTTTTTTACAACTAAGTTGAATTCATGCAAGGAAAATCAGTAGATAACATGTTTATATATAAAATATAAAATCTATAAAACTATAAAGTTGTTTTGTTTTGCATTTTAAATGACATAATTTAATTGCATTTTAAATGACAAAAATTAAAAAAAAAAGCAAGCTGATGATTTGAACTTGCCACATGGCAACCTTAACTTTTTTTTAAAGCAGTATGGAGAATTAAAAAGTATATTTTTAATAAGAACATAATTGAAAACTCTAATTTAATATTTAAATTAAACCACCTTATTAAATTTATTATTTTTAAAAATAATTAAAATTCAAAATTATTTAATATTGATATAATAAGAAAAGTTTACAGCTATTTCACCATGTCCCGTTAAACATTCTAAACCAAGCGTGCAATAACAGCAGATTTTAGATAAACATAAAAATAGTATACTCCATTATTTTTTGGCTTAATTTTTAGATTTTTTTTACGCAATACTAAATTTCACTAATGAACAAAACAAAAAAGATAAAAATTGATCATTAAGTTTAATGAAAGTTGCCACCTCAAAGAACTTCTTCTTTTTAAAAATAAATTTAGCTTTGCATATTTTATGGACGATCTTTTAGTCTTTTATAGTCTATAGTTTCTAATGGTCTAAGTTTTTATTAGTTCTGTCATTTGCATAGCGTTGTGTACAAACATCTGTAAGTGTAAATGTCTTTAGCATATTTTGAGTTGCAGGCAGTATATGGAACAATCTTGTATTATAAATCTATAAAAATTTAAAAACTTTTGAATTTTATTTTAACAATTAGAATATTTTTTTGCTATATTTTTATTTTTTTGCTATTAAGTTGCTATAATTATTATAGATATATACTATAATAAAAACTTTGCTATAAGTATTGCTATAAATATAGCAAGATTGAAAAAATTTTTAAGTTTATTAGGGGAGGTCTTTAATTCCCCAAAACGCACTAAATCTTTGAGCTAACAAAGATATGCGTTTAAGAGAAAAACAGACCTAATTATAAATCTGTTATAAGCTCTTGGTATGTGGAAAAGGCGTGCATATTTTTTTTTTTGCTTTTAAAGCATTTTTTCAAAATGATTTATTTTGATGGAAAAATTATAGAAAAGCTCAGTGTGAAATAGATTTACAAAGCCCCGTATTTTATTTTTTTACCCAAAGACCCGTATTTTATTTTTTTACCCAAAGACCCATATTTTATTTTTTTACCCAAAGACCCGTATTTTTGCAGGCCAGCTAGTTTTATAATAATAATAATATTATTTGTAATTTATAATATTGTAATTATAATATGTACATATTAACAAGTTTTATGATATATATCATAAATTAGATTATAATAGTTTACGATAAAATGGCTCTTACTATTGACAATTACTAAAAATAATGGCGACAAATTAATGGCAACAAAGCATTAAGAAATTGATAATGAAATTAGTAACAAAAATCTGGTCAAGAAAAGGAAACAAATGAATCCCAACAACAAATATACAAATTACTTTTTTTTGTATTATTTATAATTATGTTAATTAATACTTAGTTTTATTTAATAATTATATTTAATAACTATAATTATGTTAATAACTATACAATTAAAATTACTATATATAAAGTACTATTATTATATTAATTTATACTTAAGTTATACATTGATTTTAAAAATTAGAGGTTACAGTGTAAATAGAATTTTTTGATGAATTTTTTTTGGTTTAAGAAATCATCAACTTGTTAACTAAAGTTGTTGTAAATGATAAAAATAAAAAATCACAAATGTGTTATAAACAAAAAAAGTCACAAATGTGTTATAAATAAAAGACTATTATTACTAGTAATATATAATAGTAGACTATTATTACTAGTAATATATACTAGTAATAATAGTCTTTTATTTATAACACATTTGTGGCTTTTTTTTTAACAATTTTTTAAAAAATATTTTTTGAACTTTTGTAAAAAATTTAATTTTGTAAAAAAATTTTTAAAAAAGAAATTTTGTAAAAAATTTTGTAAAAAAGAAATTTTGTAAAAAATATTTTTTTTACAATTTTTTGTTTACATAGATACTGTATCCATGTAAACAAAAAATGGTAAAAAAAGTATTTTTATGTTCTGTCACAAATTCAAATAATAATTATATACTAGCTGTCAAGACCTTTATGATACGGGTCACGATAAATTTATACCAAACCAGATTAAACTCACTCTTAATTTGGTCTCGATACTTCAATAAATTTTAGTAAATGACAAAAAATTAATCAATTTAAAGCTTTTGGTTAACAATTAATTTATTATACTTGTTTACTTCAATATTTTTTATAAAAGTTTCTTTAACATAGAAGACAGTTGGGTAATATTTCTTCAGGTGTTTTTAGAAACATAATAAGATTTTAACTCTTTCATTAAGATTTATTTAAAAAGCAAAAATGAATTAGTTGTGAGAATAAAAGCAACTCTATCAAATGTTTGACCCTGATTTTTGTTTATTGTCATTGACTGTTAATAAAAGTGTCTTATTTAAACTACTTAACTTGATAGCATTAAAATTAATAGGGTAAATGTCTTTGACTTTTAAATGAAATTTAAAAACAAAATTTTGACTTTTAGGTTGCTTTTTTTGAGCCACATCTTCTTGTTCTCTTTCCCATTTTCTCTACCTCTGGTACCAAATGGGGGCATATCTCCCTCATATTTGCACTATAAAGGCCCTCTGTGATAAAGAATCAGGATACTAGGAGCTATGTAATAAAAATTAATCTAAAGTTGAGTTTGAACATGTATATACCAATTGTCAAAGTCACTTTAATGCCACTAACTAATAAGTTTTTTGCTTATCTTATGCATCATTAGGCAAAAGTTTTAACTTTTAATTCCTCTCATAAAAATTCGATAGAAGAGAGATCTTGCAATTGGGGAAGCTTAATCATTTTATTCAATATTTGATCATTCTCGAACTCAGTCAAGTAACTTATACATTTTTTTGAAAAAAAATGTTTTGGATTTAAGCTTTAAGTTATATTCTTCTGAAAAAAATTAATGGTTTCACATTAAGTGTCCAAATAAACTACTTTTTTAGTTATTCCCTCTATTTTTACAAAGTCACCTGTGGCACTCCAACTAAAACAGCTCCAAACCCTAACACTACATTCTAAAATGCAATGTCAAACAGAAGGGAGAATACAGTGCCAAACCTGTAAATATAATTTTTTTTTATTGTGTTCTCCTTTGCAAAAGCGGGATACCAGGCAACTCTAACTAGGAAGATACTACTAACAAAAAATCTACTATTAAAAAAAACAAAAAAAACAAAAAAAATCAATGCAATAAGTGAGTACAACAACACACTTATTGTACTCAGTTATACTCAACTTATTACATTGATTGATTGAACAGGAAGCTATATTAAAAAATAAAAATGCGCAATAAAAGCAATCAATTAATGTACTAAGTCAAGTATAAGTGAGTACAACTACTTCTTGTAATGGATAAAGCAGCTGGAAGCTACATAAAAAAATTAAAAATACAATTAAAAATAAAAGCAATCAATGTCGCTCCTGTTGGGGATGTTGATGCTGCTGCTGTCGCAACAACTGTAATTGGCTGGAAGAAATATTTTAAAATGTTATTTATTTAAAAATAAACTAATTCTAAACTAAAATCTAATTTAAAAAATCATGACAGTACATCGTGTCGCTGGCAAGAACAACATTTTTTCTTTCAACAAAGCTAAGTCACATTTTAGCAAAGCACACCACTTTGCTAGCAAGTACAATACTCTTGCTGTAAACAAATCCAAGTCACAACACTTTAGAGCCAATGAAACAACATAACAATTTACCAACTATAAACACATCACATTGTAACACATAGAAAAACTTCATATATAACAGGTATTTACACTTTTATTAAGGTGTTACATACACTTGTTCTTAAACCATGCAACATAGAGTTGACTGTGGAAGAAGCAAGTTGGTATTTATCTCAAATTTTGAGATAAATACCAACTTTATCAAAAGTTTAACCTTTAAAAAGAGCATGGTCTTCGAGTTCATAATATAAAAAATAAAGAATAACATACTTAAAATACAATTTACAAAGTATGTGAATTTAGACATGTGGCGGGTACCCAGTGATATTTTTTGTTATGCTAGCCTGATAATTTTTGCAATTATCAGGCTAGCATAACTTAATTTTTGCAATTATGCAATACCTGTTAAAACCAACACCTCATTTTATGTTTCTGGGTTACCAGGGACTTTCTAAAATTAAAAAGCACCTCCAAAATAACCAGGAAACCTCCATTATTTCAAGGTAAACCATCCTAAAAAGTCACATTTTGAGTTGTGATATTATTAAAATACATGAATTAAATAAATTTCATGACATTAAAAGTTACTTTACTAATTTAAAAATTTAATATAACATTTATCTATTACTACAGAATTTCAAGTCACTAAATTATTACTAAATTATTACTAAATAAAGCTTTTAGATTTTACAACTGATTAGGCAAATATTAGCAGATTATAATTTATAGAGATTCAAGAAAATCATATCAACTGGTCAAAAATATGAAGTAAAAATATTTTAGGGCCAAGCATGCTAAATCTTCTTTAAAAAATGCTGTGTCAAACACGCACGAATGGGTAATGGCAGCAAATGAATTGACCGGACCCGTAAAATACGGGTCTTGATAAGTCTATTTAACAGTAACCATTTCTATACCTATTAACTTCTTTAAATCTTGTCAGTTTAATTTTTTACACAATTTACACTTGTGAGTCACAAAAAAAAAATTATATTTGTGTTCCTATTATTAATTGTGTGTGATCATACATCTTATTTTAACCTAAATATTTCTTTTTTTTTATTATTTATACAGATATGATCTTGATTCAATAATGCATTATCAAAATGATGCCTATTCAAAAAATGGAAAAAATACAATTGATGTAATTAGTGATCCCAAGAAAGTCATTGGCCAAAGACATGATTTAAGTCCAATCGATAGATTACAACTAAATCGTTTATACGTAAGAGCAATTTTCATAATGGAGTGTTTTTGATAGTTATTTCAGTTGTTTTTGACTTTATTTTGTGTTCTTTTGTTGCATCTTACATTCAATCTTTTTTTATGCTATATTCAATATTTAATTATATTTTAAATGCAATTTTTAGTTGTGTATTAAGATTGCAAGCTGTATGCAATCTTTCGTAATTTGTAAAAAAAAGTTCGTAATTTGTACGCAATTTTTAATTAATTATTAAGATTGCAAATTGTATGCAATCTTTAATTGAATGTTAAGTTCGCAATTTGTACGCAATTTTTAATTAAATATTAAAATTGCAAATTGTATGCAATCTGGATTAAAGACTTTGCTATAGCACATTTATTTCGCATGACTGATAAAAATATGATGAAAATATAAATTGTACTATTTTGGTAATTATTATTTTCATAAAATGAAAATAAAAAAAACTACTGAAATTCATATAACAAAAACTTACCTGCCCATTTTTTTGGTTTTTGTTATTTATGTAAGACTTTATATATCTAGATATAATTTGATAAATATATGGTTTAATGTATAGTGTAATATATATATGGTTAAATAACCCAATATAATCAGAATATAATAGAAAACAAAAATAAATATTTTTTTTATATCAATTTAATGTGAATTTCAAAATTTTGTTTAACTTGAAATTTTTTCAATTTTTTAATTTTTTGTTTCCTTATTCAAATTAAACATTTTTAACTTTCTTTCTTAGAACATCTTTTTTTTAGTTCCTTTCTTAGAATCTCTTCGTTGTTCTGAATTTAGTTACATGCAAGCTTTAAATGTTTATTTATAAAAATTGTTTTAAATATAATTATTTAAAATTATTTAGGTTTTGAAAAAAAAAAAATTCTATATTTATATTAAATATATGTAAATTTATTATGCTTGAACCTTGTTTATGCATTGATTTTTATTTGTAATTTTTTTGAAGACATTACAGAGAAATATTAACGGACAGTTATTTTATTAATAGAATTATTATAAACCAATAAAAATTATGATAACATAAATAGCATAAAAAATAATTAGTAAATAAAACAAACTAGATTTATTATAACGAACCATTTTGTTTATTTAAAGATGGGTTTTCCCATTTAATATGCAGCACTTCTTTAATTTTTAATTTGTTTTTTTACAATTAACAGATGAAATTAAAGGCTTGTAAACATTAGATTGTTTTTTCAATTGTGAGGTGCTCATGAATCCTTGTTGTTAAGTGTCTGGAGGTTTCTCCAATATAACTGGCAATACATACAGCGCAAGAAAATTTGTAAACAACATTAGATTTGAGCAGCTTAGGAAGTGGATCTTTTATACTGTTTTGCAATATATATACATATATATATATATATATATATATATATATATATATATATATATATATATATATATATATATATATATATATATATATATATATATATATATATATATATATATATATGTATATACTACACAGTTATGTGTAGTATATATATACATATAACTGTATTTATATAATTGTAATTTAGATAACAATATATAACAACATAATTGTAATTTATATAACAATATATTTATATATCAACATATTACTGCATAGTTTATAATAGCAAAAAATGTATGCAAAAACATAAATTACTTAACAATACAGTGTAATTGTTAATTTTTTGTTTTTATTTAGTGTACTATAAATGAACAGCAAAAGTACAGGAATTTGCGTAGAAAAAACTGGAATGTCATGTGAGTATGGCATTTTTTATCTTTAAACTTGCTATCCTGAGATCTTTACACATAAATTTTAGTGACTTCGGTGTTAAAATTATGGTACTTTGCTTTAAGCCAAACAGCTGTTTCACCAACATTATTTATAACTTTTGAACATAGTATGCTGTTGTAATTATTTATCTTAATACTTTATTTTTGTCTTCGAACCATGTCTTAATAAGAATTATACTTTCCACGGTCCAGTTAATTTATTGCTACAACTCAAAAAACTCACTAACAAGGAAAAGGTTAAAATATATAATTGGTTTCATATTAGTCTGTGTTAACTTTCATTATTGAAGAAACTAGTTATTATTTCTAAAAGCATTTTAGAAATAATAATTCGATCTTCTGAAATCACCAATCCCAACCACTGAAAGCATCAGTCGGTCCTCTGAAAAAATATTATTTTAAGGCAGCTGTACTACAACAAGATCTATATTATGGATGTTCAATGTATTATGAATGTTCAATGTAACAGAAATAATACAAGTTATAGTATACAAATACTAAATAGTTATAAATAATCATGGTCTGTAAAAATAGCTAATGGTGGTTCCCAAGGAAACTCTTTAGAGGGATGATTATATACATATGGTAGATAAACTTTGACAAAAAAAGGAATTCGCTAAAAATACCTAAAGTTATCAAGTTTCAAATGAAATTTTTTTTTCTTTAAACAGTTTTACCAAAAAGAGAATTATTAAAATAAATTTTACAAAACAGAAAACTACTTGTGGGATTAACAAAAAATTGAAAAATGAAATTAAAAATAGAAGAAAATAAATATTTTAGAAAGTAATAGGCTTTGCTCAATAAAATTTTTGATTAATAACATTTTAAAATGCCTAACAAAAACCAAAAATCACAAAGGTTATTACAAAACTGTGTTTTTTATGTTTACAAAAATGTAAATAAGAACTTACAACATTTATTATTGAAAGAGCAAACAAACTTATTAAAAAAATGTTTTAATAATGAAAAGTTTTCAAGAGGAGTTTTTGATAACTGCAGAAAGTTAATCAAAAATGGAATCAAAGTGGCAAAAAGGTTTTATTGTGTTGAGTTGTTTAGTTATGAGTCATTTTATGTTGAGTCATCTACTTAAAATACTCTGAACTGTGAATGATTTACAAGATGATTAGAAAAAAAAAGCTAAATGAAAAACATCTAGTGAATGACAAAAAAAACAAATGTTCATCGTCAAGTTTAAGAGCTACAACAGCAAAAGAAAAGAAATTCTCTGATTTCTTTACGCTCAATAAAATTTACATTTTTCAAAGAACACAAGAAAATATCCCTAAACACAGATATTGTCTATTACAAGAATTTCAAAGAACTCAACACTCCAGAAAACAGACGTCTGTTTACTATTGTTAGAAACCATTGTAAAAAGGTTTTGTCTAACGTCAAAGCTTTCTATTCTCAGGTCATAAAATCTTGTATTTCATCACAAAAATTAGGCTCTTGTGACTTCTGGAGAATCTTTAACAGTATCAATAATAAGGGAAAATCTGGTATTCCACCTCTCTAGTATGGTTCAGACTTTGTCATTTCACCTAAAGACAATGCTGAATTGTTTGCTAAGAACTTTTTATCAATATCATCTCTTGATTCTGCTAGTTGCGTACGACCTGATATAGCGGTCAAACAGATTGATCTATTGCTTGACATTTGTATCACTCTAGCTTCTGTATCAAAAGTGATTTCCTGCTTAGACTCTTCTACATCTTGTGGTCCAGACAACATACCTGTTGTAGTCTAGCAGAAGTGTTCTGCGGAGCTGTCATCCATACTTTTAAAGCTCTTTCACAAGTTCTTATCAAAGTCTTGTTTTTCAGCATGCTGAAAGTGGTATTTGTTATCCATGTTTTTAAAAATTCTGGAGAGCGATCTGACTGGCCTAACTACTGCCCCATTAGTCTTCTTCCTATCATAAGCAAGGTTTTTGAATCTTTAATTAACAAAGACTTATTCTCTCATCTTAAGTTTAATAACTTACTTTCTTATCATCAATAGGGATTTCGATCTTCTGGTTCTACAGCTGATTGCTAACAGTAATAACCGATAGGTTTCATTATAGATAGAGGTGGAAAGGTTAAGGCTATTGCTCTTAATATTTCTAAAGCTTTTGATAAAGTTTGCACATGCTAGTCTTCTCCATAAGCTTTCTAGTTACGGTGTATCTGGTAACATCTTTAAGCTTATTGAGTCCTTCCTTTCCAATCGTATTATAAAAGTTGTCCTCGATGGTCACCACTCTTCTTCATATCCTGAAATGTCAGGGGTTCTTAAGGCGGCATTGTTTGCTGATGACACTATCATATATTCTTGTCATGATAAGAAGCCAACACTCTCTGATTGCTTGGAAGGGGCATCTGAGCTTGAAAAGGATCTCACTTCTGCAACAGCATGGGGCTGGTGATCTTTAATTCAGAAAAAACTCTTTTTTTTTCAGCCAATCATTCTCGCAATAATTTAGATCTTCCTATATTTATGAAAGGTAATGTACTTGATGAGTCATCTACCCTTTATCTTCTAGGATTAACTCTTACTTCCGATCTTTCTTGGAAGCCGTATATCAAATCTCAGGGCTGTGGAGTCGGAGTTGCGATAATTTTAGTGGAGTCGGAGTCGCTAAGAAATATCCCGACTCTGACTCCAATAGTAAAATTTCTTGGTATTGCACGTGCATGTACAAAACATTAAATTAACCTTATGTTTATACTAAACCTCAAAGAATGTTTCATAAATTTGTCAAAAAAATAATTTCAACTTATCGCGCAATATTTTTTAAAGAATTCAAAGAATTTTTCAAAAATTTTGTTTTGGAGTTGGAGTTAGAGTCAGAGTTGTAATCAAATTTCAACAACTGGAGTCGGAGTCGCTACTTTTTTTTTACGACTCCACACCCCTATCAAATCTATAACAAAATTAGCATGTCTATAAATCTCAAATTCATCTTTGTATGGAATACTGTTGCCATATCTGGGGCAGATCTTCTAATGATACCCTTTCTCTTTTAGACAAGGCAAAAACGCATTGTAAACATAGTTGGACCTGGAGAAGCAATGTTACATCATTGTAACATTGCTTCTCTTTTTCTTTTCTACAAATACTATAATAGGCACTGCTCTAAAGAGCTAGCGTCTCTTGTGCCATCTACTAAAATTCATTCTTGTGTTACTCGTCATTCAATTAAGTCTCATCCTTTTTCTGTGACTATTCTTAAGTGCTCCAAAAACTATTCTTAAGTGTTCCAAAAACTCGAATTCCTCTAGTTTTTTCTCTCGAACATCAGTTCCTTGGAATTCACTTCCTTCATCTTGCTTTCCTGATTCATATAATTTGCAATCTTTTAAGTTGTCTATCAATGGTTATCTCTACAAACTTCATCTTTGCTCTTCAGTAACTTCCAACTCTTATAGTGGTTGCTTGCAGTCTGGTTGGAAGCGAAGATGTAAAAAAAAAAATGTTCTGCTTGTCGATTGCAAGAACTTCAAAGAACTAAGCAATCATGTTCTGTACTGAAAGAGAACACTTGATAGATTATTTTATGAAGATTAAAATTGATGGTGGATGATAATTTTTGAAAATGATTCTTGGTCTTATTAACGTATCAAAGGGAATTGATGAAACATCTAGATCTCATTGCACAATTGATGAAACATTTAGCTTGCCTTAAGCAATCATAAAACATCTAGCCCTCCTTGCACAATTGATAAAACATCTAGCTCTCCTTGTGCAATCGATAAAACATCTAGCTCTACAAAGAAAACTCCGAAATGATGTTCCATTTGACCCTCAGGTGCTCCATTGGATTAGAATCTTTGAGATGGCAATTCGAGTAAAGCAATCTGCTTCTGGATAAAAATCTATTTAGCTTTCTTTGATGTATTCTTAAGGTGCATTGTCTTGTTGGAAGATATGTTTTCTCAATCGCAATTTTTTAGTCGAGGTTAGAAGATTTTTATTTCATAATTCCATCAATAAATTCCAACTTTCCTGTTCTGTTCTAAGCGAGAAATGTATTAAAAAATACATTACTATATGTAGAGATGATAAATAATCTACAGACTTGTTTAAAAAGTCGTGGGCATATAATAATTTGGTAATAGAGTTTTAAATCTAGTGATAAATTTTCTTTTTTTATTTGTTTGAACTAAAAAATGTTTTAAAAGTTTATTCCACTAGATAAGGTGTAATGAGTAATGATTTAGTTCACCAAGATGTTTTTAGATACCATATATATATATATATATATATATATATATATATATATATATATATATATATATATATATATATATATATATATATATATATATATATATATATATATATATATGTATATATATATATATGTCTACAATATTGTGTTATTTGTTTAGAAGCAAAAACTTGTATGCGTCCGGAGGACATCAATTACAACGTTTAAAATGTCTAACAAGTTAATTTTTTCATCTGGTTTGAAATGTATGTTCAGTTACAACCGACTATTACAAAGATAATGTGTAACATTAATATTATAATATGCATTTATATTATAAATATAATATGTGTAACTTTAATATCGTAGAGTTTTTATTGGTTTGGAATCATCTAAAATTAAACAATTTTTTTTATTGCATTAAATCATCAGATTGGAGCCTATTTTCTAAACAGCGGAAAGTTAATAAGTTTGGTTTAAAAATTTAAGTTAAATCCAATATAAACTAGAATTAGAATAAATATTTTATAATTCTTTTAACTGTACATCGCGATTATGTACAAAATTACACAAAATAGCCTTCTAGTCAAATCATATATATTTGAAAACTACGAGAAAAATACTATTTATTTAAAAACAACGGAAAAAATATTAACAAAGTATAAATGTTTATTTTATTAAGTGTGTATATATATATATATATATATATATATATATATATATATATATATATATATATATATATATATATATATATATATATACATATATATATATATATATATATATATATATATATATATATACATGTGTGCATATATGTAAATATTAAAGATGATGTCTTTATATTATCATGTATAATAATGTATATTTTAAAGAGTGTTCAATAGATAAACTAGATATATATATATATATATATATATATATATATATATATATATATACACACACACACACACACACACACACACAAAGTTGTATAGTTTGTTGCTGTTAGGCTACCTCACATCCCCAATCGGGATGTGAGGTAGCCTAACAGTATATGCACTGTATATACACTTAAATACACACTCCATTGTTTGGTAAACTTTGATTTCGCTTTAATCTTTCAACTTTAAAAGTTTAATAAAAATAAATTGATTAATAAAAACAGTATAAAACGATAAATATTTACGAATTATGAATTGAAAAAAGATTCAAGTTGGAGTTAATACATCATACCAATGATTTTCGTATGGATATAGTGAGTAATATATTTTTGTTTGAAAAAACTACAATAAGTTTTCATTAAATAGATTTTTTAAGGAATTCTGTAGCTTGTTTTTAATATAAGTGCAGAAACTTTCTTATATATATATATATATTATTTCTTATATATATATTTATATATATATATTTATATATATATTATTATTATATATATTTTCTTATATATATATATATATTATTTCTTATATATATATTTATATATATATTATTTCTTATATATATATTTATATATATATATATAGTCTTTCTTATATATATATATATATTATTTTTTTGAAATATGGTATAGTTTTTCTTTTCTCTACAGTTATCTCGATTGAGAATTAGCCAACCTTAAACCAATTATTTACCCACGGTTTTTCATTTCCTACCGCGGTCCGTACTTATATAACAAAATAATATCAAGAAGTATAGAACTTAAAGTATTAAATAATCCTGCCAACTTGAAAAATAAATTTAAACACCTCATACTTAATATCAACAATTATATCAATTTTAATGTTTGATATCGATGTATCAAACTTAAGATTACAATTTATACTAAAATATTTACGTGTATCGCTGACTACATATTGTTTAACCACTTTTGACTATATATAAAAATGAAATAGACTTTATTTAATTATTTAAAGAAGTACTTGATGATAAGTCTTTATAGACTTCTACGAGTTTTCCTTTACAAAAACATGTATAAATCTGAAGTAACAAAAAATATCATTTCTTATTTTTATTCTTTTATTTTTTAAAAATGCTGGTAGCTATTATGATGAAAACACTATTAATTTACGCTATACTTAGTTATATTTATTAAACCACTTTTTATTATGATATGTTATTATGATATGTATACGCGGTATTATTATATTATATTTTTTACGTTGCATTATATTATGTCATTTAGTAATAACGTATCGATGAGTAAATTAATTGAAGTTGTAAAAAAAAAAAAAATTCTTTATTTAGTTCAATATTTATGTCTTCATATTTATATTATTTAAATAATATTTTTATCTCAACTTGGTCATGTTTAGCAAACACAACGGAATTCAGTTTTAATGATTAACTGCTAAAATTATTTTTATAAATTAAAAGCAGAAGTGGGCCACGAGTTAGCCCTCCACATAAGTTTTTAATACCTCAGATTAAATATTATGTTCAAATTGTTTTTTATTGGTAAGATTTAATTTTTAAATCCAATAATAGGTACGCATAGGGCGACCAGGGCTAGTTGGCAGCAGAGGTAAGTTGACAAACTGCGTTTATCTTCAGAGCCATTTATCATAAAGTGAAAAAAATGCAAAAAATCCCCTTAATAGATCATTTCGTCATTCGCTAAAGTATTGTTAGGATTCGCGCATGCACATTGGAGATATTAGAATTTATGTGCTTTAGGGACTAAAACGTAACTTTTGGAACATGGCTTACTTTTTCTTTACAAAGAAAAGTTGTAAAAATTCCAGTCACAACAGGTTTTCAATTTCCGGTCAGACTTTTTTCAATACTTGCCGTTTTTCAGGATCAATAGATTTTTATTGAAAAAAAGACTTTTGAAGTAAGTTCGCAAAATTCTAACGGGGTAAGTTGGCTCGTAGCATTTACTATGGGGGAAAATATATATTTTTATAAAATTATTATTTTTTCTTTTTTTTTTTAATTTTCAACAGTATTGAATTTTTACAAAAAAAAAAAAATACATTTTTTAGGTTTTATTTTCTTAGATAAAAAGTGGGCTGTTATACGTACTAATATTTGGTATCAGCTAAAAGTAATATTAAATTTTTAACATAAAACTGTTGCCAAAATAAATAATAAAAAATCAATTTTGAATTCAATTAAATTCGATTTTGAAAAAGAGGGTTAAGTGACTCAATTATGATTGTAGTATGAGAAGGTGACCCTCTCTTACGACAAATATTTTATTAAGATGTTCAAAACATAATAACAATTACAATAATAAGCACTGGCTTATAAGAAACCATTGCTTCTCAACCAGAGAGACTCAGGAATTTTTTTTTTTTTTTTTTTTTTTTTTGGTTTACATTTGTTAATCGTTCTACAGCCCATAAAAAAAATAATAATCTAAATTTACAATGGCATAAAACATAACAAACATAAATAAACACAAGGTATCTGAAAGAAGATCACAAGAATCTTGTCATCAGAACCTTAAAAAAAGCATTTAACAAATATAAGATAGAAAAAAAAAATTAATAAACTTTTACAAAATTGCAATGCAAACAATCTGTGTCTGAAGATAGATCAAGAGGATCTTCTCATCATATAAATTAAAAACCCAACCTATAAATTAAAAAGTAAAAAGTATAAGAACAATAAATAAAATAAGTAGGAATAAACTTCTATAAACATAAAACTTCTATAAACAAGATATATATATATATATATATATATATATATATATATATATATATATATATATATATATATATATATATATTTAACTTTTACTAATAATAACTCAATATATTATCTAATGAAAAAATATATATATATTCAATGGGGCTGGGAATTTTATTATTTAAAATATAATTTCTTAGTAAATATTATTTATATACTTCAGTTTTTTGTATTTATAAAAGAAATTAATTGCAATTTTGAAAAAGCATTTATAAACCATTAAAATTTATAAAATTCATAAAGCATTAATTGCAGTTTTCAAAAACTTCAAAATTTACTTAAAAAAACAAAAAAAACACTTTTAATATAATTTGTTTAACTGAAACTTGGGCTACTGCCAACGATTTAATTAATGACTTTAATTTTCATCTTCCTCATTTTGAAATAATCTCACTTGAAAAGCAAACTAATAAGCGCGGTGGAGGAATTCTAATTTACGTTCATGAAAATATTAGGCATTGTTTTAGAAACGATCTTAGTATTTCTAACGGCGATGGAGAACTTTTAACCATTGAAATAATAATTTTTTTTTTAGTTTATTATTTTTTTTTTTTTAGTTTATTAGTTTATTTCACCGTTAAAAATATTTACAAAGTACAACAATATAAAAAGTATAATTGGCTGGAGCAAGAAGAAGGCATAAAATAGCCTTATCACCGAGCCCCAATAGTAACGCAAATAAATATCCGTAATATACAATAATCCGTAATATATAAGCAAAAGTATTTAAAAAAAGACAAATTTAAAATGTTAAGAAACAAAGTTAAAAAGAAAAAAAAAAGTATTAAAATAATTGAAGAAAAAATAAAAAAAAGAAAAAGGAATGATTAAAAGATAGTAATAAAAATGACAAAAATTTTCTGTTTTTGGTTATAAATTGGATGTGATTCGACATATATATTTGTATATATTATTTTCTTTCAAAATAATTCAAAATTCAAATAAAAATTCTGTTCCAATATTATAAAATATATCAAGAAAATTGTAGGTAACTTTAAGAGAATATATATATTCAATGAAAGTATGATAAAGACATTGAAATTCTTAGTATTGTTAAATGGTCTAGATTTTTAAATTTATGGTGCTAATTTAGTTTAATAAATTTTAAAGCTTTAAAAGTGACATAGAAGATCTGCTATATTAAAATCCGTAAGTACTAAATAACGTCTTAATTTAGATTTGAATTGCGAAAATGTTTTTTCTTTAATATTAACAATATGCTGAAAGTTTTTCCACAAAATTGGACCCCTGTACTGAATAGAATAAGAACATAACTTTAGATTATACTTTTGAGTTACAAAGTTATTTTCTAAGAACTTGGTGGGGTATTTATGGCTTACTTTTCTAAAATAAAGATAGAATATCGCTGGAGGCAGTCCATGTTTTATTTGATACATGAACTGTATGACGAGGAATATGTTAATTTTAAACACATTTAATGCATTGAGTTTACGTAAAAGTGGCTCACAAGGCACAGTTCTTTTTACTCCAAATACAATTCTACATGCATGTTTTTGTTTAGAATAAATTTTCTTTAACTTAGCGTAACTGTTACTTGCCCATACGATATTGCCGTAAGTTAGATAGCTATGTATGAAGGAAAAATATAAACTTTTTAGAGATCTTACATCCAAAAATGGTTTTGCTTTATACATCATTGCAATGTTTATTGAAAGT